ACAAACAAAAACTATCTGCTGAAAATAGTGTACGTCTGTAATATTATGTCCCAATCGAGAAAGATATAACCCAGGTAAATTAAATTTACAATTTATTTAGTAATAAATATTTACAAAATAATGTCCCAGCTGAAAATCCCGCCGGTAGTCATGACTGCCGACCCCTGCCCCCCCCCCTTCCAGCCTCTTGCGACAGACTACACTCGAGTTCGTTTTAGGTGGTTTGCTTGGGTACGCCCAGAGTGTTTTCCCTTCCCTCAAAAACCCCGGCCAGCCACTAGCGTTAATCCTCTATTCGGCGCACTTGCACATACCCCGGGGCCTGGCCACACCATCAGCTGCCCCCCCCTTCTTTTCCTTTTCGCCCTCTTTTTCCCGTCCAAAAGCCAACTTTTAGCGAATCGTAAGCAAACCTTTAGTGAATTAAAAGCGTACCGCAGGTGAACCTATGGTATACTGACTCAAGTGGAGGCGACCCACGACGGAATAAGCGAACAATGCTCACAAAACTTCTGGCATGCGCACCGTGTTTTAGTTATTGATAAGCCCCTAGTTTTAAACATGTTGTTTCTGGTTATTTTTTGGAGTTAAAACGATTCGCTTGGTGAAAACTTGGTTGGTTACATGTAAATATGTTCTTTTTTAAACAAATCGAATATTAACCTAGTTCCGTAAACTTTCGGTTTGTGAAGAAACAACAACTCTTCATACTTAAGTCATCTATCCCAACTATGACTTAACGCACAGATTTCTACAGCCAGGGTAATGGTTAAACCTCTCCGTTACTTTCAAAATATTTGACAGAAATGTCATTTTTTGCTGAACCAATGACAACTAGAGAAACCTGCAATTAAAAACAAGTTTTTTTGGAGCATATTTAAAAAAAATATTACTTTAGTCTACAATATGGTTCAAAATTATTTTCTTGTCTTAAATAATAATTTTCTATAATTTTTATTAGTCTAGCCCAAAATGACTTGTCTACCAATTATTCTGAAAGTAACGGAAAGGTTTTATCATTATCCTGGCTTCAGAAATCTTGCGTGCTAAGTCATAATTGGGATTAGTGACTCAAGTATAAAGAGTTGTCGTTTCTTCACAAACTCAAGGTATACAGAACTTTTTTTTGTTTGATTTGTTTAAAAAGGAACCTATTTACACAGTACCTACCCAGTTTTCATCCACTGGATTGCTATAACACTAATCAGTAACAAAAAACATTTAACTTCAATTTTACACTTAGGTGGGAAAGTTCATCGTATGTTTACCTAAAAGATTAACATATAACTTTACAATCACAAGAAAAAAAATAGGAGAGAAAAATAATCTATCTTGAAAAATGTAACCGTGAAACCAAAAATAAAATACTCTATACACATACATCCTAATACTTTGCAGAATATCAACTCCCTGGCGGGTTGAATCAGCCATGAGACTGCAAAAGCTGCCGAGGCTGCGCGCTATCGGTCTCTCGGTCCCACGTCCCACCCGTCCTTCTAGAGGACGGACCGAGCGCGGAAAAATGAGCAATTTCGAGTGCGCTCGACGCGCGCTGCTCGCGTAGCCCGCTCGCGGGTAGTTCGTCAAGCAGGCGGCACTCCCGCGCGCCCCAGCCATAACACCCTCATTTGAATACGAAAAGACCACCTGCCTCGCCCCACCCCTTCTCCCTCATCTCCACTCACCCCCCGCCCCTTTACCCCCATGCGCGCCACGTAAAAGAGAGGCCGCGCCGCCGAGGCCGCAGATAATGTCTTATTTCCGCAATGAGATAAATTCACTCACGTGAGCGCGCCGCGGCAGTCACCTCCACCCCCTCCCTCCCCTCCCTCCCGGAGCAGCACAGCGTGGACGCTGAAGAGCTCCCCCT